TCATCTGTGGCTTGGAAAAAACATCTGGCTACAGGTTGCATGATGATGGGAGTATGTTCAGGAGATATATCAGTGTTTACTTGCTTTCAGCTTATATACTCTTCCTCAAGCATCCTCTTCTAGTTACTGCTAGAAATGCAACACTAGGCTAGATGGATCTTTAGTTTTACTTGTTATGTCTGTTCCTATGTTTAGAGTTGCAAGTTAACAAAATGGAAAGAACTGGAATAGCCTTCTAATGGCTTCAGTTTAAAAACTTTAATAGCATGTCCAACTGTTCTGAAGTTTCTGGGATGTTATGAATGGGTCTAAGCCTGTAGCTGAACATAGTATTATAAATCTGTATGCTGGGAGCTCTAGGGGCTGTCACTTGATCCCTATTATCTTGAAATTCACTGTTGGTTCTCTTCTAGATTTAACTTTTGGCTATAAATTTACTGCAACTTCCCGGTTGTTTAAATCACATTCTAAGCTGTTTGCAATAATCACTGCTAGTTAGACTCTAGTGCACTTATGTGTGTAAAAAGTGATGGAACCTTTCTCTTTTGTAAAAATGTTACATTTTTCACCACTGGCTTGTAATGGTTGTCTGAAAAATAAGCTTTGTAACACAGTAGAGGCATCTACTCTTAAAAAAACCCCCCACCAAATTCCTCATGGTTTCAGGGCTTGATGCATTCTTTGATTAGGCTTAAAAAAAAATTGAAAAGTATTTAAAGGGTCTTAATAAAATAGTTAATGATGCTTACAGGTGAAGTTGTATGTTCTTGGCAGAGTAACGACTTCCAGAATAGCAGAGTAACTGTTTTTTGTTCAATTTCATAGGTTATTCCAAAGTTTATATCTTTGTTGCAACAGAACAGAAAATGGTATGTATTTTCCTTTTTTTGGGTGTGGTATTTGTGCAATAAAACTAATTACATTTAAAAATACATGGTATAGTTTGTAAAATGATAATTTAATAACTAAGTTATGAGTTGCTTGTTTTAATAATAGTTTATTTAAAAATTGTAAATAATTGTTTGCATGTCAGCTACCTAAGGTATCTTCAGCTAACTGCTAACAGCACAACTCCTTAAAACACAGTCTAATAAATGGAATACTTCTGTTTGAGGATGAATAAAAATGTCTTGCTGTTCCTTTTTTTAAGCTGTATTCATGGTTCTGGACTTCAAAGAAGGAATTTCCTTTATGCAACTGATGTAGTAGAAGCATTCCTTACTGTCCTGAAGGAGGGAAAGCCAGGTGAAATTTATAACATTGGAACTAACTTTGAGATGTCCATTACCCAACTTGCTAAGGAGCTTATCCACTTAGTGAGTAAACTGTTATGTTGCTTTTATTTACACATAAGAAAAATGCTACTACAAACCTTTTGTAGTTCTGAGAGAGCTTAGTCTTAGAAGATAATTGTAGCTGACAGATGTGCTACCCTTCCTGTGGCAGCTGTGCTGTGTAAGTTTGCAGTGCAGGCTATGGTGCATTGTACTGCTCTATCAGCTACCCAGGTGGGACATAACTGGCATAATGATTAAATGTCCTATTTGGTAGGTTTTTCCATGCTGGATGCTGCAGTTCTGAGACAATGTGGCCCTATTAAAATCTAACTATTTGATTATGAAGGGTTAGGCAGTGCTCAGATGAAGGACAGAAGTTTTGGAATTGTTCTAGATAATTTTGGTAATTTCAGTAGTTTGAAAACTCAGCTTAAACAAAAGACCATTTCTGGTTTTGGTGGTGTGTTGTTTTTTTTTTTTTTGTTACCAGACATTTACCTCATTTGTTTTTTTTAAACAAATCTGTTTTTCAATGTCTGTTGAGACAGTGCAAGATGTGGGGTTGTGATTTTTTGTTTTTCTTAACAGATAAAGGAGACCAGTTCAGAATCTGAAATGGAACACTGGATGGATTATGTCAAAGACAGGTAAGAAAGTAGCAAAGCACATGCAGGAGAGCTTTATCCTGATGGTTTCTGGGTCTTGTGCCAAATATTTTTTTGTGAAAATTTTTCTCCTCTGCAGGAGGGAAAACTTTGGAGGAAGTAAGAGCTGTTTTGCTTTTTTTTTAAATTGGTATTTTTATTTTGCTAGTGGATTTGACATCTATGATACACGCAGAACATATTATAGAGGAACAGAGAACAAGTGATAGAAGAACAGAATTCCTGTTTATTTTTTGATCTTTAGGTCAGAGTATATGTTTTGAAGGGGAATGTGTAATGCTAATATGTCTGTCTCTGTTTCTTCAGACTTCTCAGTACTGAAGTTTGCTCTAGAAAATGGACAGGTTTTATACAGTGGCTAAATCTTTTCTTAGCAGTAGTTTAGATAGCTTGTGCTGTACTTTGTATTCGTTATCATCTGAGTGAGATGAATCCCTTTGTCTCTCACGTAGCTTTAGTATTTTGACATTAATGTAACTAGTTCAGACTTGGATGTGCCTTATGGGTAAGACCTACTCTCCACAGGCAGAAATACACACCCACAGAGTGTAGTTAATTTTACATTCCTGTGTTAAGCTAAAACTACTATCTCAAAAGTAGATGTAAAACACTGAGGTGACAAAGCTAGGATGGTGGCAGAAATGGATAGCTTTTATAAATACAGTTTTGCTGTGTGTTTCCGTCCTTAATTTCAGGCTTGGTTTGCCTCTGTTGTTTTATCTTAGTTTCTTTTCTGCAGCAACAATGGGTCTCTGCTTGCTTTAGATATCACTTTCTTTCTCCAGAGTCATTAGAAATGACATATCTCCTGATAGGAGTTAAGTAGTATTGTGGCCTTTAGAGTTCTAACTTTCTAATCACATACACATTATTATGATGGCATCTGAAGTGTCTTTAAATCTGCTAATTTTTCTTTTTAAAAGGAAGTGTTCTTCAGAATCCTATCTGACTGTATCACAGGAGTTTGAACAAGTTGCCTCATGCTCACATGATGTGAGTGTTCAGTAGATCTTGGTGTAATTCGGATTGAGATGTTTCTCCATGTGTACTGAGCCCTGTCTACTAATGTTCAAACCTAAGCGAGCTTGGTAAAACTAACCACATAAGAATACATGTTTCAAAGAATGTTGAGGCTTTATAAAAGATTCTTAAGATAACTAATGATTATTTAATTTCATAATGAGCAACTTAAAGGTCATGTGGGTTACTTACCATGGAAAAATGAGTTCTGCTTCTGCTTGAGATTAGCATGTTTTAATAATGGTGATAAGTAGCTGGTTTCTCTCTGCATGTGTAGCTTAACTACTCAGTATGCTAGTCCCAGTAATACGGGAATGGAAGACTAGACTTCTGAACTGCCAGATTGTGGAAATGAAAATTTGTGCTGTGCTTAAACATACAATCTTTCTTTCTGTGTTTAATTTTGCAGTCTGGGATACTACATATTCACCATTACTATGTTTGTGTAGCTAATGAGGCTAATGACAATGCTTTGGAAGTCTTTGTGTTTAAGATCTGAAGTTTGTAAAAATTTATGGGCTTTCAGAGTGGAAAAATATGAATGCTGGTTTTAGGAAACACTGGCTTATGTAATGAATGTGTAAGGAGTTGCAAATGCACTGATTTGCACAATTGCATTGGCAGTGATATATTTTTGTATTTGTTTTTTACTAATGTGATATTCATATTTGTTCTAGTTAACTCCAAGTACTTGATTGTATAAACTGAATTGTGCTGTAGCTTCACTCAACTGCCACTTATATTTTTGAAAGCAATATAATCTATTCATGTTGAGTGGAACTTTCAAAATTTAGGCATACCTAATGTTGGTTCGAAGACAATGTGAGTTACTGCATCTCTAGTTAATAAAACATTCTAATAAAATTGTTTTCCATGTGCGTTTTGTACTTCCATCAGACCTACCAATGACCTGAGATATCCAATGAATTCAGAAAAAATGCACAACTTAGGATGGAGACCTAAAGTGCCTTGGAAAGAAGGAATAAAGAAAACAAGTAGGACTGATGGCTTTTACACTATTGATTTAGAAGTGATGGGAGGATGGGAGGGGAAAGAGGGAAGATGTATGTATAGATTAGCTGATGAGAGGCTAAAGAGAATGATTTTAACACTTTAGTTTTGCATAAAATGGTCTGCTTTTTAAGTAGTGAATTTACCTGATGTAAAAAAGTTAATCACAAAATAGCATCAGGTACTAGAATTAATTACTTTATGCAAGTCTTATTCTAGCATTATGAAGTATTAATAAACTTAAACTAGATTTTTTAATATTATAGGTTAAAATTGTGCATAATGAAGTGTTAGTGTGTCATTAGTTTTATGGTATCTATGGAAATTTGAACTTCCCTGTTATCTCTATTCAACTTGACTCATCAACGTTTTCTTCGTACTAGTTGAATGGTACAAAGAAAACTTCCACAACTGGAAAAACCCAGAGAAGGCTTTGGAGCCTTTTCCTGTGACAGAGCCATTTGCACAGCTCAGCGGTCCATAGGGTGGCAGAGAACCTGAAGGAATTTATTCTACCTCATACAATCTTTTCTTCCCAGCCTGCAATCAAGTGGCCTCACTGGACTCTTAATGTCTTGAAGATAAATGAACCACAATGAATACAGAACTACAGTGTGTCACGACTTTGGAAGGGTTTCAGCACTTTATTAGTCAAACCTGTTAATTTCAGCTTTTGGTGCAATATTATGTTCTCCCTAAGTATTGATTTTAAAGACCTGTACAGGGTGAAGAATATTTATAATGCTATAATTTAGTGTAACTGATGTCAAATCTCCCTTATTAATTTAGAATAATTAATTGTGATTACAGCTTTTGGGGCTGTCAATGAAACTTGTTTTAGTTCTGGAATAATTAATCTGTATTAGTCTGTTATTACAGTGTAATACATTATTTCTGTCACTTTAAAGAGTTGCTTTTATTTTCAATTGGGGAAACCTGCCGTGTTTTCTGTGGGTTATAAATCAGTTGATAAAAGCTGGATTTGGCACCCAAGTGGATCAGTTCTTTTCTCCATTGGTGCACTATTACCTTCTATAGGTGACTGATTAAACTGTTATCTGTAACTTTAAGTGGCTTTTTCTTAAGGAGGGTGGGGAGGGAAGGTTGTAAAGAAGTAGCAGCTGTTCTTGCTGAAATTTCTGGAAGCATTTTCTTACATTTTGCTGGTTTAGGTGTAGTCTTTTTACTGTATGACTGTCTTTTACATGTTAACTTCCTTTTCTTAACTATTTTTAACAAACTTGAAATTCTGTGACATGGTTAATGTTTCAGTAATGTTATTTACTGTCATATGAAGGATATAAAGACAAAAATTTTGAACACTTTTCTGTGACTTGTGGGCTGACACCTTACTTAATGCAGTGGTTTTTTTTGGTGGCAAACAAAGATGAAACAATACTTGAGTTTAAAGGTAAAGTTTGGGAGGAAACTTCAGTTCTAGAAATAAGTCCATGAATCTTTTTCAAAGTTGATTTATTATTAAAGGTTATGGTATAACTGATTTCTTTTAATTAAGTAAATACATTGAAAAAGTAGATGGTGGGGTTTTTGTATTTATTTTTTTTCAGGGTACAGGAAGAGCTATATTCAGTTTTTTGGCTTTGAGGTGGCAGACATACAAGGGAAACCTGTTCTTGGGTTTATCACTGCAGCTTCTGTACTTGGCACAGTCCCAGACTCTTCTGTTGCCCCTGGGTGGAGCTGCAGAAGCACGGGGCTGAAGCACTGTGGAGTACTTGGAAATTGCTGCGAGTCACTTGGAAATTGGGAGTTAAACTCTGAAAACACAAGTGTGTGCAAAAGTTTTCCTCACCACCCTAAGTGCAGGAATTTGCCTTAAAATTTGCTGCTAGAGTTTCAGTAGTAAGTGAACATAAAAACTTCATAGTACTGCCCCAGATGGCCTGCAGGTCATGGTGCCTTTGGAGCCACAGTGTGCTGTGTCATAATCCCTTGTGTGTCGCATGGTGCTGCTGCTAAACTACTACTTTGGGTTGGTAAGGTTTGCCTTCAGAGGCAGCTAAATATTGAGCTTCTAGGCTTACCTGGGCACCATCTGAAGTTTAGGAATGTGTTGCTAAAGGAGAGTCTTCTGTCACAAGGTGAGGTAATAATGCTGCACTTAAATTGCATTGCACTTGTATTTTTTGGGTTTCTGCTACTTGGGTAGTCAAAACCTCCTTTTGAGAAGGACAGAATTACAGGACTTAATACCTACTAGTCTGTTAGAATACTTGGCTTACCAGATAATAAAACTTTTAATGATGAATCACTTAAATTCCATTGTCAAGCACACATGGCTGATAACACTCCAATATTTTTTTAATTTTATATTTTCTTGAGATACAGCTTCTTTAGAATAAGCAGAGAGTTACTTACTCATCTTAATTGTTCTGTATTTGAGAGTCAATACCAGAAATAGCTGAACCACTGCAAAGATCTGTTCTAGCTGTATTTATGCTTAGTGTGGCAGCTGCTTTCAGTGAGCTGCATGAAAGTATGTATCAGGCTGGAACTCTGGTGATGTGATGTTTTTAATATTAAAGATTAGAGATTATAATTTAATAAAGTATTTGTTTACAAATAGGTACAATGTCTTTGGAACATTTAAAAACCAATCAACTTGTGATAGTGTTATCAGACTAGAAATACAGAGAAGAAAGCAGTAGGGTGTGATTGCTTTATTGAAGAGATTTTTTTTAAGTTTTGAATGCTTAGCTGCTGAAGATGTAAACTTTGACATTTACATGACTGTCCAAGCAAGTGATATACTGGGAGTGGGTTTTTCAAAAGGATCTATTAATTTTTAGTTGAAGCTGTTGCAATTTCAAAGTTTTTAAGATTAAATCCTTCAAAGTTTTTGAGATACTTGAATCTGTATTCCTGCTTCTGTTTATCTAGATAAATATACAAACACATTTTAGAAAAACACATATTAGAAAAATCTTGGAGGCTTTTGCTTTGAGCTGCTTTGTTACTGTTGGTCAACTTGCTTAGCAGACAAGCAGTCTGGTAGGAGCATTGCTTTGGCAGGAAGAAGTGTTTTTACTGTTAAAGAGCTAATTTTGCCATTAACCTTCTGCCTTCTGTAGAAAGAAGAGGAAAAAGCATCAACTAGTGAACTGTTAATTTGCAGAAGTGTGATGCTTTTAGGTTGTATCTCTTACTGTTTTCATGTGGGAGGTATGAGGAAACACTTCTGCAGAAGGCAAAGTTAGTGGTGTAAAATCCTGTGAGCACAATGGTCTCACCATCTGCTTTTCTCAGTGTTTCTGGGACATAACAAACTACGTTTACACCAATAAGAAAATAAATGAGATAGATGTGTCAGTCACTTAAATTGCCTAAGTTTTCTGAAGGAGAAAGGCTGGCCTTCAGCAAAGTGTTTCTATGTAGGTTCCCTCACAGAGGAGAGGTTCACACTTGGAAAATTATGTGGGGACAGCTGCCTCTTCTGCACCTCTTTTGGGAGATTACTGTGGTGAGTTGGGTTGGATCTTCATGCAGCAGCTGCTGAAATCTCTTGTGCTTTTGGGAAAACCAACATTGCTACCCCATAATCTTGGTGCACCAAGCCTGCCATTCAGCCCACCCCTTGCAAGCAGCAAGTTAAAATGTGGCAGATGGTGAAGTGGGCAGCTCAGGCAGGGCTGTCTGCAGTCCACCTGCTCTGCAGGTTGTGACCAGTGTGGTCTTACTTGTGTATTGGTCCCAGTTTGTGTGGTGGAGATAATCCTTGCTTTCTCCAAGGTGTTTTCTGGTCAGACCTTGGCACCTACTTGCTTAAGTTTGCAAACCATGAGGCATCAAGAGGTGCCAGCTGTGGTTGGGGCTGGTTTGTACTGTCATAATATGGTGGACTAGAAAGTAGATTTTCTTTGTCCACCTCATAATTGACTAGACATAGGAGGAAGGCTGTGTGTGAAAAAAATACATTGTGTGTAGCTTGGGTTTTTTGTTTGTTTTGGTTTGGTTTTTTTTGGGTTTTGGTTTTTTTTTTAAACCACAATCCCTATCCTGGTGGGGTACAAAATAGCACAAATTCAGTTTCCTGGTAGGAGAAAGTTGTGAATAGTTTTGGCTGGACTCAGAATTCTACATTTAGCTAAAACTGTGTTCTTACACTCCTTAAATAGCCATGAAATGCTAATATATTTCTACTCTTTGGTAAGAGGAACTTTCATAGAAAAAAATTTGTTGGGGGAAAAAAGTGGCTGTTTAAATATATCTGAGACTGAATAGTCTGTTTTTTGTTTTGCATTACTTTTAGTTTTTATTTCTGCTGCCATTTCCATTTTACTTGGCAAAACAAAGATTTCTAAAAATAATACAAATTAGAATAACCTGTTTGTCCTGAGTAGTTCTGATTTTTATGGCACTGTACGAAAAGCTCTAAAGTCATCAGTGTTTTGACTTCTATGCATGTCATTACACATTTGGAGTTTATCAGCACCAGAGATCACAAGGTTACATTAGCTGCCTCAGTAGAAGACACGCTTATTTCTTAGCAGAGCCATCATTGCCACTGGCAATGGAAAATCATGAGAATATGAGATTCTGCATCAGTACCTTGTTAGAACATCTCTTTAATACAATGTTATGGGTTGTTTGGTTGTGTGGTTTTTTTTTAAAAACCTCTCCCTAACAATTTTTTTAATTGTTAAAGAATTTTTGTTTTCAGTCACTAACTGTTGGCCCAATTCTCAGCATTTCGGCTTCTGAAAACAGATCTTGTGCCTGGCCTGCAATTTGTGGCTTCTGAAGAAAGGTGGTTGCTCACAAAAGACTTCCAGAAGTGGGATGACTTGGGGAAAAATATACTGTTTGAAAGTAAAAGGAAGTACGGGATGTGTGTCCCAAATATTCATAGGGTTGGGTAAAGGCTGCTTCTTCCACTCTTGAAAAAAGAGAGATTTGTTAAAATCCTATATTACTATGGATGAGGGAGAGGTTTGTTAGTGAACAAATGCCAAACAGTGGGGAGAAGCAGTGGGCAACCTTGCAAAGCACCATTTCTCCCCACTTGCCACATGTGGAGCATGAATAGGAGATGCTCTCACAGGACTTTTTTCGGGAGCTGTGGGATGTGCAAATAAACACAGGCCTGAGATGTGAGTGTCCAGTAGCAGTGTCATGTGTGCTAATGTGTGCACTCAGATGCATCCTCTGCCTTCAACCTGAAGCCACAGGAGTGCAGTAACAGACCCCTGTTGAAATAAATACCTAGATGACCATGGGAAGATAAACTTTGTTCTTATAACTCTGCTTAGTCAGGCTTTATGCAGAGGTGTAACATTGCCCAGTGGAATGTGCATCTCTGAGCAAGACCATGGAAAAATGGGAATGGACGTGTCCTTTCTATTCATAGAATTGTTTTACCTGGAGAAGACCTTTAAGATCACTGAGTCCCCACCATTAACCTGATGCTGCCTAACCCACCACTAAACCATGTCCCTGGGCCCTATTTGTGATACATCAGCTCTGGCCAGAATTTGACAGACTTCAAAAATTATGTCCCTGAAAAGTAAAGGAAAAAGCGTAGCATTCTTTAATCCCACAGAGCATTCAAGTTCCTGTTACCTCCCAAATAGTTCAGGGAGCCACAACCATAGCACCTTTCTCCAGACACTAAACGTGTTGAGGTCATGGATCACATGTGGACATATACACATGGTTTTGTGTTATAGCTGTATTTTTCTTTGCCTTAATTTTTTTGCATAATTTTATATGCAAGGGCCCGTCGTCAATTCGGTTGTGGTATTCGTGGTGCCCAGCAAGGCAC